TTTATCGTTCTTTTGGTTAGATCAGCTTTTCGTTATAGGTTAAATGTATTTTTTTAAAAATGTTTCTACATTCTTTTGCCACAACAAGTGTGTGCTTTCTTTGTCTTTGGCTTAGGCAGAAGCTGGTTTGCTATATATGAACTTGAACAGGGACAAGAGGCAACATGTTTCTAACTCATAATGACTCCAACTCAATTCGTATCTGTGTTTGTAAGAATAAGGAGCAGAAGTAGGCCACAGAACCCCTCGAACCTGTTTGCCATTCAATTCGAGCATGGCTGATCTGATTACTTCACATCCTGCTAGTCTCTCTATCCTTTCAGTTTCTTGTAAATCATGAATCTGTCTATCTCTGCCTTACAAAATATTCAAAGACGTTGCTTCCAATGCCTTTTGATGAAGAGAGTTGATGAAAAGACTCTCAACCCTCTACAAAAAAGAAAGTTCCTTATTTTTAAACATTGAACCCTCCCCCAATCTAGATTCTCACCAGTGCCCTGTGTAACTGAAGCATAACCTCCATAGATAACAAGGTGTAGAGCTGGATGAACACAGCAGGCCAAGCAGCATCATAGGAGCAGGAAGGCTGACGTTTCGGGCCTAGACCCTTCATCAGAAAAAGAAACCTCCATATTTTGTTTCAGTTTCCCTCAAAATAGGAAATAACTTTTACCTGAATACTAAACTATTGTGATTCATGAATGAGGACACCCAAAACCCTTTGTTTCTCATAGCTGGGCAATCTCTCTCAATTTAGATAATTTTCTTCTTTTTCATTCTAACTGCTGAAATGGGCAATTACCTGTTTTCCCACATATTTCCCAGTAAAATGTAGGGTATGCAGGGCAATTTGATCTTAGTAGGATAATAGGTCGGCACAACATCATGGGTTGAAGGGCCTGTACTGTTCTGTGTTCTATATTGTATTTTCTAGATCTTTGTCCATTCACTTAACCTATCTATATCCCACTATAGCTTCTTACATCCTCCTCTCAACTTACTTTCCTACCTATCTGTGTCATCAGCAGATTTAGCATCCATGCTGTCATTCCTGTTGTCCAAGTCATTTGATTTGATTTTGATTTTATTGTCACGTACTCCAGTACAAAAGCACAGAAGTGCAGTGAAAAGTGTATAAAGTCACCACATACGGCACCATCTTAGGTACAAGTGGCTAGGTACAGAATCTTAAGAACAAGGTAGAAAGAAAGAACAAAGTTAAAAGTTAAACATTGCAGTTTTTATTGTAGTGTAGCGTAAAACACACGAAATAAGGTTAAAAGTTACACATTGCAGACCTCCTTAGTTTTAAGTAGAAAATAAAGAAAAATAAAGCTGTAAGTTCAGACACTACAGTCTTTCTTAAATGCATAGCCGCAGTGGGATTGCACTTCAAAGGAATCACCTCGAGGTATATAATACAATTATATAAATTGTAAAAACTTGAAGAAACAATAGTGATCCCAGTGACGCACCACTCATTATATCTTGCCAACTTGAAAATTACCCATTTATGTATACTGTCTGTTTCCTGTTAGCTAGCCAGTCTTCCCTCCATGCAATCCATTTTACTCACTATACCGTGAGCTTTTTTTCTGCAGTAACCTTTAATATTAGTCGCTATCAAATGCCTTCTGGAAATCCAAGTGCATTACATCCATTGTTTTCCCTTTTAACCACGTTACTTCCCTCAAAGAATTCTGAAAAATTGATTAAATATAATTTTCCTTTCACAAAACCATATTGACGCTACTTGATTACCTTGAACATTTTTGAACTGCCATGAAATATTTAATAATAGCTTCGAACATCTTCCTTTCAACAGACATTAAGCTTAATGGTCTGTAGATTGCTGCTTTTTGCCTCCCTCCCTTTTTGAATAATAAGTTATGTTCACTGACTATCATTCGAATGGAACTTACCCCAAATCAAAGGAAATCTGGGAAGTTAAAACTAATAAGAACATAAGAACCAGGAGTAGGAGCAGGAGTCGGCCATCTGGCCCCTCGAGCCTGCCCTAATGCATCAACCATCTCATTAACCATTTCTTTTAAGACCCGAGGATGATGTCCATCAGGAGCTGGGGATTTGTCATCTTGCAGCTCCACCAATTTGTTCAGTACTACTTCACAGGTGGTTGTAATGCTCTTGAGTTCCACCCTTCCTTCTATTTCTAATTTACAGCTATTATCGGCAGCCACACACATGGATTTGCGGTTAATTGCTGGAGAGAGAATAGGAAGCTTGGTATTTTATTTTGCCATTTTTGATGCACTAATGGCATGTTGAAACTATTTGTAACTCCATTCCAATCAGTCTGTCCACTATAATTGTATAGATTGGGTTATAACCTTGGAATTTTCAAGTGATTCATTGGCCCCAAAATCTAATAAAACAGGATTTCCACATGGATAGTTGGATTTCTTGTGGGGGTTTACCTGATTGCTGTTGACCTTTTATTGTCATAAGAGTGATTTTTATTTCTTTAACATGTTTGTTGCTGTCGTGTTTGATAGGATAGTTCCCTACAGCAGCTGAAATACAACTCAGGAGCAGCTAGGATCCCTGTTGCAGGGTGAGATGTGGGTTGAGGGGTATGTAGTTAAATGCGTAGGCTGTAATAATGAGTTGTTGGACAAAAATGACAAACTTTGGGAGAGGAGAGTGGGAGACTTGAGACCCACTTATTGATGGGTTTTGAATTAACTGCGCATTTGTGCGTTTGAATTGGGAACAGATTTATTTGTGAACCAAAGGAAGTACATCACTTGTTCCTGACCCAAAACAGTCCTGAAAACCAGGTACCTTTTCCATTCAGCAGTTATCACTTCCCTTTAACGGCCAGGTTTTCTGGAACCTCAGAAACCCAGTGAGTAAGCATTAAAGCTGAAAGAAACGTTATTCTGCCGTATCTCCTGGGACAGGTCAATTTTGCTGACTTTACTCTGAAGAGTCTGCTTTAAAGTGAAGCTTTAAAGAATCGTGGGGGTATTACAACATTTTTGTAGAAAAGCTGTAAAAATAATGAGGTTTGGGGTAAAAGAAATTGTCCGTCTTAAGTTTTTCTTTCTCATTTTCTGTGCAGTCTGACGTTTGGGCCCTCGGCTGTTGTGTATTTGAAATGGCAACCTTGAAACATGCCTTTAATGCCAAGGATATGAACTCCTTAGTTTTCAAGATTATTGAAGGAAAGGTAATGTACATTCCATGATATTTTTCTATTAACTTTATCAAATACTTTATTTGGTTTACCAATATACAGCAGTTCAAGAAGGCAGCCTCAAGGCAAATAACAGTGAGCAATAAATGCTGGTTCTGCCAGCCACTGTCCCATCCTGAGGATGAATGCTAATAATATTAAAGAAAAAACCCACGCATGAGTTCATCTGATAAATGTCACAAATATGGATAAACGTTGAGAAACAAATTAAAGGTCAAGAAGTTACAATATTTTTAAGCAATGCAAGATTAGATTAATGTTATTTATTATTAATAATATCCAGGTAAGTTGGCCATACATCCCAACGATTGTCTGATTAAATCAAACAATGAGTTTCTTTGTCCCTAATAGACCAAGTATAAACTGTACTCAACCAGCCTAGTTTGCAAAACCCAAAACAAAATGTTTACTGTCAGATGTAATTCTGCATTTGTTCACCACTTACTGATCAATCCTGAGTGTGCTAATAGCTACAGCAGGATCAACTTAAGGTAGTCCATTGATTTAACACATGGATCATTTATGCTTGCAAGGAACAAATACATTCATACACAGGGATATGTTCTCTGCAAACTAAAGGGGTATATTTAACTTTTGCACCCTTTTCGAATTACTAGGGAGATTGAGGCGCTCAGGCTTTGTGGGCTGGCATATAGTGCTAGAGAAACGGAGGTACTGAGGCAGGCGGTTAAAACATCAACTTTGGTTCTCAGGTCAACATCCCCACTCTCAGCATCAATCGTAGCCTCTAAATGTCACCCGCTAGCTCCCACCCAAACCTCATAGCCTTTATCCCTATGCCTCAATCCTCCCCATGGCAATTCATACATGCCTCTCATGCCCCCTTATTCCATGTTCCCAAACACCTTTGCCGCCTTCACGCCCCTTTATTTTTATGCCCTCCCATAATCCCATACTCCCACTCCCCGTGTATGCTTTGCAGCCATTCACTATTCATTACAGGGAGAAATGAGAATCTTTGAATTGGGCGTGGCAAGATAAATTAACAATTCAGATAGAACTGTTACTCAAACATACTGAAAAACTTGTATTCACAAAAGCTATCGTAAAATCCCCTCAAGTGATCAGTCAAGTTGTAAAAACTATACACTTATTGACTTACCAAATCAAAGATAGATAATCCTTTAATAATCTCTTAAAACTGTTAATTAAAAATATGAACACAGATCCTTCCTGACAGAAATAGTTCTATAACTTTCGAAATCTTTCATGCATTCTTTTTAGGCTTAGCTGTACTAACAAACCATTAGCTCCAATGAAACTGAAAGACCAAGTGATATTTAATTTCCATTTCAAAGCAGATTAGCTGTCATTTCAGTGGAGTGCAGGACTTTCAACAGGAGTGACATTTTTTATTTCAAAGTTAACAATCTCCTCATTTGAACCACAGTTCTATGACAGAAGTTTTCCCAGCACATTTTTCGATGATTTTGAGTGCAAAATGGATAGAAGTATTCAAATTAATCTCATTACTTAACTAATGTTGTTCAATGTAATAGTCAAGTTATCTTTGCAGGTTAGAGTCCCTATAATGAATCACTGCGGTTAAAACACAGCTGCATTACAATGCACTATCTGATAATAACATCTGAAGTTATCAAAATATTTACCTGTCAGAATGTTTCCAAAATCTCAGCAGACTCACCTCCCCCTTTTGTTTTAAGCAGGGGAGGCTAAAATTCAAATGTACAATTGCCAATGGCGGTCAAAACTTCGAAAGAATTCTCGGGGTCATGATCCCAAAAGCACAAAATGACTACATAAATATGACGCAGGGTCAAGAAAGTACTTCAAGTATTGTTGCCAAAATTTGTCCTTCCTGACCCTGTTTACTTCTCCATCAGTAGACAAAAATTCAACCTGATATATTTAGAATAGGAGTGATAACGGAGACTTATGCACAATATTGTTTACTTTATCAATATTTGTTATGTAGCTTCCACCTATACCAAAGGAATACAGTGAACAGCTGGGAGTGCTGATACATAGCATGTTGAGCAGAAGGCCTGAGGAACGACCAGATGTCAAAGCTGTTCTCAGGAAGTCATACATCAAGAGTCATATTGCTTTGTTCTTGGAAGCCACAAAAGTGTAGGTATACTCAATAACACGTGAAATAAAAATTGTTGAATTAAATCTTTGATCATATTTACCACACAATTACATTTTCTCTACAATGAAGTAAGATATTTGGGAAAAAATAATAATGGCAAACTGCTGAGTCTTTAGGAAAATTGATGCAAAACATATTCAGCAAATGCGGAGTAGTGGTGAACAAAGCAACAGAAAATTGCATTACATAATTGAAGCAGGAGAATATCTATCAGAAGAAATTATTAACAAACTGCTTAACACTTTATTTAATCGCGCCTTGAAGGCAGTGTCATGTCTGCTTTGCTGATATGCAGCTGAGACATTCAAGTTCTGGAGGCAGTTTGAGGGACTGAACATTAGTGTCAAAGGTGTAAGTTATGAGGAAAGGTTGGAGAAACTGAAGTTATCAGCATGTAATTGTCTGCGAAGTGCTTTCACAGAACCAGGCAAGCTAGCTTAAGAGATGGAAAGATAAAGGCAGGTTAGTACTTTAACTTGTGAGAATACAGGAAGATAATTCCAATTTAACCTGGTAAAAGTAAATTTGATACTGCTGTGAATATGATTACCTGTAATACTTTTTTATATATTTTAGGAGAGCTATGAAAACACGTAAGAAAACCTCATTAGAATCTAAACCCATTAATTCCTCCACTGTGATATTGAAGCGCAATTCAGCGTGTGAATCTGAGGTCCCTTTGAACATGGATCCAACCAAGAAATATATCAAGGTCAGAGTTCTAAGTTCAGAGTACTGCCACAGTGAAGATTTTTGACAGTTTTCAACTGAATATTTCAAGTAGTTTAATGATTCTATGCATCTTGTGAATCACCTGCATAAATAGTTGTCATTTTTCATTCATAAGATAATACATCTGCTTTCTCCACATTAGCCCTTACTTTGTTTATCTTGAGCATATGCTGCGATGTCTTATTTTCTGTTTACCAAAAGAGGTCCCAGCCTAATGTCAGTGTTGCTGTAGACCTGCCAGCAGGGAATAGGAAGAACCAACCCAAGGGAAAATCCTAATTTGAATTCCTTTAGCCTCACTTTACCTAATCAGATGCCTGTTATGAATAGAGAACTACTCCATTGGTGTTTTCCCAAAGACATGTGACTTTTAGAGCTGGGCGTGGTGGCCAAGTGGAAAGATGTTGGTCTCATAATTTGAAGATCGTGGGTTCGATCCCCACCCGTGTCTAAGAGCACATTAGTTATTTGGATGGCACGGTGGCTCAGTGGTTAGCACTGCTGTCTCACAGCACCAGGGACCCGGGTTCGATTCCATCCTCGGGCAACTGTCTGTGTGGAGTTTGCACATTCTCCCCGTTCTGCGTGGGTTTCCTCCAGGTGCTCTGGTTTCCTCCCACAGTCCAAAGATGTGTAGATTAGGTGGATTGGCCGTGCTAAATTGCCTGTAGTGTTCAGGGATGTGGAGATTAGTGGGGTTATAGGGGGATGGGTCTGGGTCGGATGCTTTGAGGGTCAATGTGGACTTGTTGGGCCGAAGGGCCTGTTTCCACAATGTAGGGATTCCATACTAGAACTGAACTGAATAGACTGGGAGTTAACTTTGTATACCAATCCACAGTAGATCATTTTGATCACGTACAGGTTTGCATTACTACAGTGTATGATACGTTATGAGAAAAAATCTCCAAGCGTTCCAGCTTCATGTATAGATAAGTAAGGGCAAGAGGAGCAAGACTGCATCATACTTTCCTTCCAATCCACATGACATCTTGAAAATTTCACACTGATTCAGCAATAATGATGGAGTAAAACCATAAAACACATAGGGAGCATCTTCATTGCACCAATTTCAACAATTTGAGTAGAAAACTAGTATTCAGGTACAGCAGGTAATAAGGAAGGCAAATTGGATTTTGGTATTTATTGCTAAAGGAATAGAGTGTAAAAGGAGAGAAGTGTCGTTGCAACTGAGCAAGGCATTAATGAGACCACACCTGGAGTATTGTGTACAATTTTGGTCCCCTTAATTGAGGAGGGAAGTGGTTGTATTGAAGGCAGTTCAAAGGAAGTTTACTAGATTAATTCCAGAGATAAGAGTTTTGTTATACAAGAATAGAATAGAATCCCCATGGTGTGGAAACAGGCCATTCAACCCAATAAGTCCGCACTGACCCTCTGAAGAGCACCCCATCCAGACCCATTCCCCTACCCTATCCCTGTAACGTTGCATTTCCCGTGGCTAATGCACCTAACCTACACATCCCTGACCACTACCGGCAATTTAGCATGGCCAATCCACCTACCTTGCACATCTTTGGACTGTGGGAGGAAACCGGATCACCCCGTGGAAACCCACACAGACATGGGAAGAATGTGCAAATCATACAAAGAGTTGCCCAACGTTGGAATCGAACCTGGGTCCCTGACATTGTGAGGCAGCACTGCTAACCACTGAACTACCATGCTGATGACATTGAATAATTGAGACCTATACTGTCTGGAGTTTAGAAAAGAGAGAGGAGATCTATTTGAAGTATGTGAGATGCTAAGATGAAATTGATAAAATAGTTGTAGAAAAAAATGTTTCCTTGTGGGGCAATCTAGAATGAGAGGTCATAGTTTTAGGATAAGGAGTAGCAGATTTAAAAAAGGGGAGAAGGTTACTTCTTTCAAAGGATTGTGAATCTGTGAAATTTATTACCACAGAGTGTGGTAGATGCTGGGACATTGAGTTAATTCAAGGAAGGGAAAGCCAATTTTTAATTAGTAGTGGGTTTGTGGGTTTAAGGGTTATGGAGACTGGGCAGGAAAGTGGAGTTGAGGCTGAGATGAGATCAGCCATTATCATATCAAATGATGGAGCAGGTCTAGGGGCTGAATTGCCTACTCCAGCTTCAAGTTTTTGTGTTCTTATGCAGCCAGCACCTCTCAGGAGCGATAAGAACCCACATTCTGAGAATGAAGAAGAATTAAGAACTGAAGAGAATTAACTTGTGCACTTAATCTGTAATTAAGTATGTAAATGGTTGGTAAAGTATCCAGAAAATGAAATTTAAAGTTGTGTAATTTTGAAAATTGTATTTGTCTTCATGTTAAAGGAAGAAAAAACATCTCAGAAAAGCAAGCCAAATGATAAGACCTGTGGCAATCAAGAAGAAGAAATGTATTCAGATGTCTCTTGCCAGGCTTTGAATAGTACTACAAACTCGGTAGCTTCAGTAAGCAAGTTGGATATTAATATTGTTCATGGAATTGAAGGAAAGAATTCTAATTCTGATGGTACAGTTGTGGATGAACCTTTACCCAACATAAGAGGCTGCCTTAATGAAGGAGCCAAAATACCTGCCAGCAGTACTGAGGCTGATAATACTGAACTACATAATGGTGTAATGCTGAAAGAAAAACCTGAAAACTCTGATAACCAAACCTTATCTGAACTCTCTGATGGAAAGGATGACACTATTGAACTGATTCAGCCTGCCTTTAGGGAAGAACAGTCATCTGAGGTGCAGGTATGAAGTAGTTACATTATAAAAACCTAAAGCTTTTTACTTTGTTGATGGAATTGTAGATAGAATTTAATGAGAGTGGCAGAAGGCTCTGGTGGCACCCTTGTTAACCTGATCTTCAGGATACCCAAGGAAATTAGGCCCCAGTTGATAGCTGGCACCCTGCTGCGGGTGGACAAAACTATGTGGAACATTTAATTCCTCCTGAAGAGCAGAAATCCCACCTTCAAGATTGACCAGTAGTTCCTCATTACCAACAGAATCACCAGGAGCAGTAACCACTGTCAGTAATACACTTATGCCTTTACCTAGGTTCAGAAAGGTAAATGATGGCAGAATGGAGTTTGCAGGGAGGATTTGGAGAAAGGGCAGAGAGTGCCTCTCAGTCAGAATCCACTGTCTGATGCCATATTTCTTAATGAGGTACTGTGTGCCCTGAACAAGAATTGTTGGTCTCCTGCCATGGCAAGTGTCCATCTACCACTAGTTTATTACTAGTGGTGACAGGATGACACCCCCAAGTAGGCATTAATTACTTATTCAAGAGTCTCAATTAGCATCTGGAGAGAAGGCCACCGCAAGCTTTCCCAACAAGGACTTAATTCAGAAGAGGCAGAAAGGAGACTGGGTCCCTACTCTACATTGTCCTGCCTGATCTACTAGCTCTCCCTGACGTGGAACTCACTTCCAGATGGAAGAGCGTTAAATTCTACCCTATGTGTACAATATTATCAATAAGCTTTACCCTTGAATGTTCGGTTCTTGTTCTTTTGTTTCTACAAATCTTTAGATTAACACATGATTAAGCAAAATCCCAGATAAAGAAACAAGTGTTTACCAATAATTATGGATCTGAAAAGTGCTGCAAGTAAAAGACCTTGCAAAATTTTTGCTGCTGAATGGTTTACTAGACAAGATTGATAGGTCTATTGACTTTTGAGTTTAAAGAGAATGTAACCCATTTATTAATACATTGAATGCATTACTGTGCTCAGTGAAGAGCCAAAATCCTAATGTTGGCGCTACTGCTTAGTTAGACACATTTGAACTTATCTTTGATAAGTGCGCCAGTCTCCATCAAAGATTCAAATGGCAATCTCAGTATGATTTCAGATGGATTTTATGGGACTGTCTGCATACTAAGAGATTAGTGAGTGTGATGAACAATGTTATAACGGTATCTGGACACAAGAGGCAGAGACTACAGTGGACTTCAATATAAAATAGGAGAGATTTAACTGGTATCTTTGTTGTTTTGACAGGAGATTTTTGACTCTACAGAAAAACTGCTGCAACCATTTGTGCCAGTTAGCGTAACGGTAAGTATAATATAGTATTTGTTTCTGATTAAAAGTATGATTTCAAACAAACACATTTAAACAGAGGATAGTCCATATTAGTTTGTGGATCTTCTGAGGATAGAGAAGATATTGCATGGTACAATTCAAAAAAGACCATATGCTGCATGCCTGTTGCTACATACAAGCCTTTTCCTACCCCTCTTCATCCAATCACATCAGCGTTATAATTGTAAGACCTTAATTTGGTTCTTTTATTAATTAATTGCTGTCATGCAGTATTTACAAAGCAGAGCATATTTCATCGTTGGACAAGTAACAGCCATTTTGATCTATTTAAATGAAAGGTTTTGAACTGAAAAGACTTTGAAGTCACATTATGAGAAATAAGACTAAGGTGTTAGAAATCCATTGTAATGTGTTTTTAATAAGATGTAACAAATGAAAATCACTGTGGTGTTAGATTATTTGCAACATTGGGGTTGGAAAAAACTTATAAAATTCCACCCATGAAAATTTCCCAAGGTGGTTTGCATCCTTCCATCAGTGGAAGAAAAGTGGTGAAAGGTATTTGTGTATACTCCTAAATAATTACAAACTGCAAGGATCTTTTTTCAGAATTTCTAAAATGAACATTACTTATTTTTATCATTTCATATGGGTTTTACAACTAACATGTATGGTTTCGTCATACCATGATTAATACATTTTTGTGCTCTCCAGAATGAATTGGTAACCTTGTTAAATATGCAGCTCCTGAAACTTTATTGCTAACTAAACATCTGAGGGTAATATTTCGCAATATTTTTATTGCTCAAAGTAGAACAGGGAACAGACTTATGGAATATATAATAATTGCATACTAATCTGTGTTGACATTAAATTGTTGAAGACAGCATTGCAAGGAAATAATGTCATCTACTGGTTTACTGTGTCATCCTATTCTAAATTCATGTCATTTTTTATGTTGATCCCTGAAAGAAATTAAATTTGCATTTGAGATGTACTTGAAAGCAAAGCTTGTGGATATTGAGATTTTCATGTATGCAAATAATGTCCTAGAGCAAATTAATCAAAACAGAATATTCAGTTACTTCCTTTGGAATTATAAACATGTTAAGCTGCAGCAGCCAAGTTATGTAAACTAAAAAGACCATTTGCATTTGTAAAAGTCAGTTAACATTTGAGGTGAAAATGCTTCTTCAGAAACTATCAGTAGAATTTAATGATTGTTCCGATGAGCCTGGCCACTGCTAGAGAACTGATGGCCATGCTGCCACTGTTATTTCTGGGAGCAGCTTTGAATTCAAACCCCAATTAGGCAGCGTTCTGCTTGCCATCAGACTTCCTGGCTTCAGGTGGCAATTTCCCACCATACATTCTGATGTGGCGCAAATGTCCCATATATGAAAGCAAATGTCCAGTTAGAAGTTCACACCTCTCCAGTGGCAGGTTCACTGCTTGAATGGCAGAATAAGGATCACTGCTATCATTCCCAATTGGACCTGAGTGGGGTGATATCGTTGGAACCAGTCAAAGTGGCCTTGCAGAAGACAAGGCTGAATGCCATTATAAAGGGCAAGGAGGTGTCTTTCTGGAGAGGTAGTCTTTGCCTCTGGTAGGTCCTTCCATTGAGCACAGCTTGTCTGTGAAGGAGGGACCACTTCCAACAGGTGACAGGTATCCATATATGGGTTCAAACTGCTGATTGAATACATAGTGGTGAGGTGATGCCCTTAAGTGATCCCCTCAGGGCTTCAATTGTCCTCTGAGTAGAAAGGCCACCCATTCCAGTTTTAATTCAGCGGAGTTGAGAAGGTGATGGTGTCTCCAGTGGGTGGCTGTTAAACAATCCTTCCACCTCCAGTTCACTTCTGATAACAGCATTAAGTTCTACCCCATGTTTGCAGATGTGGGCATCAACCAATACAGATTTATTGTGAAATTCTGTACACTAAGCACAAAGCAGGAGCAATTTGATTGTAACAGTATTAACAGTCTATTTTAACAGACATATTTTGTATTGGTGCTACTTGATATCAGATCTAATGAAATATCGCATAATTTTGTACACATTTTAGGAGGACCCTTCAGAGAAGGTTGCAAAACAACCAGTAAGGGATCCAGCGCCTTACCTGCCACATTGTTCTTCATCTGAGCCCTCAATCTCATGGCGGTGTAGAGAGAAGAGCGACGAAAAAGCAAGGAAGACTGAGAAGGTAAATAGGCAAATACAAGTACAGTTATGATTCTAGCTGATGGTAATATTGGACATGTCAAAATCCAGAGTGAAACTTGGCTTGTCACATAATTTGTTTGAATTTTGCAGGTAGTTACTATGGTAATTAGTCACTGAAATATATGCACAAAAGGTTCTGATGTTCTTTAACACCAGGAAATTTATTTATTCCACAAGAGAGATTTATAAAAATCAGTCAAAGATATATATGTACAGTTAGAAAGATATTAACCACAAACAGCAAAACAAAATTTTAGTCTGTTTTCCAATATTGTTCTTTTACACCTATATCATTCCAGAGGAATTTCACTCGTTTCTAAAATTATTTTGTCTTAACTGACTCCTTCCAGTTTATTTTCCTTGGACTCCTGAGATAATTTTTAATTTTTTTTGTAGTATGCTGGCATGAATCTGTCACAGTCTAGTAGTCTAAACTATTTTCAGTTTTAACAATTTGAAGATTTCCATACAAGGTCTCCTGGATTAGAAGATCCACGAACTAAAACACTTTAGCTCGAGTGACTGATTTCTCTGAACTAGGAGAGACTGTTTGCCCATCTGTACTGAACTCCTGATTCTTCTGAACTAAACTCAAAAGCTAAAATTAATAGCTTTCTGATCTGTTATAAATTCAGCAGTGTGGAAGTTCCATCGCTTTAACGCTACTACGGTTTGTTTTTATTTAACCCATTTTTCTAATCAACCTGTTCAGACCTCTGGAGCAGGTAGGACTTGAATCTAGGCCTCCTGGTTCAGGGGTAGGGACACTACTACAGCACCACAAATACTACCAGGATTCTGCCAGGCACTTGACTGCAGTCACCTGCTTACTTGGAATTGATGCACTTAAAGCCACTGCTCCAAAAATCTTTCTGATCCATTTGAAAACAAAACTTCCATAGAACTGATCCACATTCATCTGCCTTTTTATTAAAGTTCCAAATCCCAAAATATAGTATATAGACCTATCATTATGGTATATTTAACAAAATAATTAATATGCTTTCTTTGAAACTATGATAAATAGTGTTACATTCCAGTTATACTTGTTTGCTGCACAGATAAATTGGTTTCCGTGTTGTCTGAAAAATTAATTATTCTCTAACTGGTTATATTGCCAGACCTGGTTCCTATATTTCAGGGTGGTCCAACCTTTTTTGCTTGAAGGGGTGAGCAACATTTCATCATTTGTCTCACTCTGGGAGCCCAGTGAGCAAATTTCCAAAAGGTGAGGTTTACTGCCACCGTAAAATAAATCTTAAAGTATCCAAAGCATTAAGTTGTCCACATAAATGAGTAATTAATAAAAATGACCATTAAAAAGTGCAAATCAGCACAGCTAACTAATAAAACCCTTTTTTTTTTTAACATTTTTGGTTAAAAGCAAAGCTAGAGAGAGAAAAAATCTAGACCTTAAGTTCCGATCACCAAGGAAGAGTTGGTTAAGCAATGCTCACTGTGATCTCCCTCTGGTGGACACATTTCAAACTGGCTTCAGCAGATGTAAGTGGGGATTAGTAGTAGCTTGTCCTTCAACCTGGGATTTCCTCCTCTGCCAGCCTACTGTCTGCTTTGTAGAGTTTATTCTTTCGTTAGTATAACCTTCCAGTCAGTTTGTTAAATGTGCAGGATTTACAAAATGCAGAGAGTAGGAATAAATCTGTCATTCTCACGTTGGCAGGCTATGATTAGCGTGGTACTGAAGGAATCCATATTTAGGTCCAAGTTCTTCACCATAAATATCAATGACTTGGATATGGGGACCAAATATAATATGTCTAAATTTGATACAAAGCTAAGCAGGAATGTATGTTTTGAGGAAGATGTAAAATGTTTCAAGAGGATTTGAACAGGCTTAGTGATTGGGGAAGAACATGACAGATTGTCTGTAATGCGGAAAAATGTGAGGTTACCCACTTTGGTAAGAAAACTGGGTGTGCAGTGTATTTCTCAAATAGTGAGAGGCTGAAAGTTGTGGATATGCAAAGGGACTTGATGTCCCTGAAGTCACTGAAGGTTAACATTGCAGATTCAGCAATCTGTTAGGAAGCCTAGTCGAATGTTCGCCTTTTTTGCAAGAGGATTTGAGTACAAGAATAGTGAAATCTTGTTTCAATTGTATAGGAGCTTGGTTAGACTGCACTGGAGTACTGTGTATAGTTTTGATTTACTTATCCCAGGAAAGATAATAACGTCACAAAGGGAGTGCAACAAAGGTTCATCAGACTTGTTCACAGGTTGAGTGGACTGTCCCTTAAGAGAGATTGAACAAGCTTGGTCCGTATTCTCTACAGTTTTGAAGAATGAGATGTGATCCCATTGAAGCCTAAAAGATATTTAGAGAGGGCAAATGCAGTTAAGATATTTCCCTTGTATGGGGAGCCTAGAACTAGGGGATGCCATTTAGGACCGAAATCAGAAATGTTTTTATTCAGAGGGTGGTGAATCTTTGAAGTTCTCTACCCAAGAGGGCTGTGGAAGCTTGGTCTTCGAGTATGTTTAAAGTCTATATATTTCTAGTTACCAATGGCATAAATGGTTATGGGAATAATGTAGGTAAAAGCCACTCAAGTGCTTGATCAAATTAAATTGCAGACAAGGCTCAACAAGCTGAATGGCCTACAACTGTTCCGATGTTCCTACTCACTCATTAACCCAATTGGCCATCTATCCAGCTCCCCAGACAGTCACTTGTTCACCCACCCATTCAGGATCCCAGTCATTTTCCAATCCAATCCCTGTTATCCGCCCAGCCCCAGACCCAGCCACTCATTCATGCACCCATTCCTCTCCAAGTCGATACTAGTTACTCATTCATTCTGGCAAGATTTAATGATTAATGTTGCTCTGTTTACTAGTAAATCCATCAGAATTAAATTTGGGTTGGGGGCAGCTTCTTTCAGAGTCTTCCAGCTATGCTTAAAGTAGCTGTTTTTTAAAACAAGGTTTGGCAGATAGGAATTTATCTGTCTTTACAGCACAATACAATTGCAGTTCCATGTTGGTTGAGATGCCTGCAGGTCACCTGTAGCACAAGCCTGCGATGTATAGTATCGAGGATAATTGGAAACAGGCAAAAGTTCTGGCCCAGCCAGCATTTGTCACATCCCATGAAAGAATTAAAAATTGTCATAACCTAAAACTGTCTCATTTCTAGAATCAGTGCAGTTTTTTGAACAGGCATAGATGATTTTATATCATTTTAAATAAGGTGACATTTAAATTTTCAGGTCAAAGCATCAGCTCCTAGACAACTGCCTTCTATACCACACGATGAACCTAAAGTTCACATAAAGAAACTGCAGAATAATCTCGATAAAATTGCTAGTGAAATCAGTATATCAACGGCCAACTCAAAGAATAATGAAATTGGAGCCTCACAGGTTTGTACGTTGATAATTCCCTTCTTGTAACATATTGCAGAGCTCTATTGGCATTGCCACAAAGATTCATTACTCTTTCCACTGTGCCAGATCTCACTTAGTCTCATTCAATTATTCTTGCCATTAAAATTAATTTTCAGAAGAGTGCAGCAAGTCAGGAGGATAAGAAAAATTCATTTTGCCTTGTGTAGGATCACATCTGACGTCAACCCTCTGTAACAGTCATTCAGGGAGGAAAACAGTCAACAGTCAGAAGTTCCAAAGTGTTTCTAGTTATTTTTTACATACTATATATGAATATTACATAATTGATGCAGGATTTTTACTTGACTTTTATCTCGGATTGAGTATCATCAACCTATAGGTAAACTTGTTGCACTCTATGGGTGGATTTTTCTGGGAGAGCATATAACTCCCTGCCTCACTGCTGAGCAAACTTGCCATATCGCCCACCAGCCAGTTCGTTAAGAGCTAACTGGCTAGTTTCTTGGCAAGTTACAGGCCTCGAAAGTGGTATCCTGGGTTGTCAGAAGCTGCCAGCCAATCTGAGGCAGGAAGCTTAGAGATCCTCAAATCTGCCATTCAAAGCCTACTCCTCAGAGGATCCAGCAATGTGAAGATATGTACTTTTTGTAATCTTCTTTGGGAGCTGGGGGGTGTCAGATGCAAGGACAAGGGAGTCACGTCACTACTTGCCCCCATCTCCCCCCCACCTGTGCCTCTGATTGCCTCCAGACCCATCAAGAACATAGATGATTGGAGAGCTGACAAGCTAACGTCTGTAAGTGGCCATTAATTGACCACTTAAGGGCTTAAATTATTGTAGGTCAAAAGGGTTGGCCATGGACCTTCTCATTCCTCCTCCTTGCAAGCAATAGAATCACTGTTTCACAAAAACCATGGCTTCAGCCTTAATCTGATTTACTAAACAGTAAGATAAAAGTAAAATGGTGTGGATGCTTCAAATACTCTGCGAGCTCTTTATGACCTTTAAGACTCCTCAGTAAATTCAGATCATGATCTCTTTTTCCCCCTGCTAATTTCCCCCGGTTGTGATAACAGGTCATCAACCTGAAACGTTGACTTGGATTCCAATGGTTAAACAGTTGTTTCAGTAGCATAGACTGAAGTTGCACATTGGGACCATGCAGAATTCCTGATACAGCTGATTGAGGGAATCGCACAGGAAATCGAAAATTTCAATGCACAGCTCCCTCTGCATCTGGAACCCTTGAAAATATCCCTTAAAATTGGAGAATTCCAAGGGTGTCCACTCACTTAAGCTTAATAGTTATTCAGGTAACGTTAGAGTATTAAAAACCTTCTCTAACTTCAGGGCAGCGATTAAACTGAACCACTGATTTCCTTCCATCCCAAGTAGACATTCCTACCTCAGCAGACCCAACACAACTCATTCCCTGGACCTGACTCTTCTCCCCTTCCATGATGGATCATCCACTTGTCACTTCTGGATGAAGATTGCTGTGAATGCTTCAGCCTTATCTTTTGCAGTGATGTGTTGGGCTCTTCCATCTTGAGGGTGAGGATATTTGTGGAGCCTCCTTCTCCAGTGAGTTGTTTAATTGTCCACCACCATTCACAACTGGATGTTGTAGGACTGCAGAGCTTAGATCTGATCTGCTGCTTGAAGGATCGCTTAGCTCCATCTGTCATTTGCCGCGTGTGCCATTTTGGATGCACGTAATCCTGTTTGGTAGCTTCACCAGGTTGACACCTCATTTTTAGGCATGCCCTTCTGCACTCTCCATTGAACCAGAGTTGATCCGTTGGCTTGATGGTAATGGTTGGGTGGAAGAATATATTGGGTCATGAAGTTGCAGGTTGTGTCGGAGTATAATTCTGCTGCTAGTTCTCACCATGCTAAATGGGTCAGACTTCGAACTGATTTAGCAACTCAAGACTGGGCATCCATGAAGCGCTGTGGGCCATCAACAGCAGCAGAATTGTGACATTGTGTATGACTGCGACAAAGACAAACTATCCCTTTCAACATTTTTGACTTAGCCTCAGCCTTTGGCATAGTTGACTACAGCATTCTCCTCTTCACTGACACGTCCAGCTAGATGGCTATTCTCAACTGGTTCCATTCTTAGTTATCCAATTGTAGCCAGAGTATCATTCTCTCCATTCCTGCACCATTACCTTTCGTGTCCCACTCTCATTCTTGAATTTGTTACTTCTAGACTTGACTATTCCTGTACACTGTCATAGGCCCTTGACTCTGCAGTTACCTCCCTACATCTCTCCATCTCTCTATCTCACTTTTTTCCTTTAGTATACACCTTCTAGCCTACCTGTTTGATTAAACTTTTGTTCATTTGACCTAATTTTTAGAATTCTCCTAGAAGTGTCTGGGGGCATTCTATGGACAAGTGAACAAAAGTAGTAATGGCATTCTACAGAATTAAAATAGTTATTTATAATACATTTTGAAAATTTCATCCTAAAATTGTTTTGTTTTACTCTAGGATCGCCCATTATCTGCCAGAGAACGAAGGAGATTAAAACAGTCTAAGGAGAACTTTCCTCATTCAGGTATCCACTGAATGATTTCTTTTCTGTCTTGGAGGTATTGACTCTTTATACGGTACAATTCTGCCGATTTCACAACCCTCCTGGTACCTAGATCATATCACCAATTTTCAAGTTTAAGCCTCTACAATGGTTGCTGATAGTCCAACCCTGACCTTAATTGAGGTCATAGGTAAATCATTGCACAATAATTGAAAGTTGAAGTTCTTTCTAATTTTTTGGCTTCTATGGTCGAGGATTCTGGAGTGCGACTTCAAATTCCTGCCTCTGCATGATTTGAGGATTAACTCCAGGGCAACTGCCAACTTCAGCTAGTCAATGGAAAAAGTCCTGAGGAGCCATGGTGTATGACTCTTTCTCTACTTTCTCCCATTGTAGGTATTTGATGTGAAAAACTGGTGTAAAGGTTTCCCTTTAGATTGACATCTTTATAAGATTTCTTCTGGCATCAGTCCATGTCCTTTTTCAAAGAAGTCATATTTGACTCAAAGCGTTGACTCTGGAGAGATAAATACAGGTGCTGCCAGGCTTGCTGAGTTTCTCCATCATTTTCTATTTTTTTTATTTCAGATCTCCAGCATCAGCAGTACTTCACTTTTATTGCTCAATCCATTCTGGTGTCTGTTTGGGGACATTCCAAGTATGTTTCCATGGTAGAGTTACCATCCCCCACTTATATGAATAGGAAGGGTTTAGAGGGACATGGACCAAATGCTGGCAAATGGGACTAGGTCAGATTGGGACGTCTGATCAGCACTGACAAGTTGGACCAAAGGGACTGTTTCCGTGCTGTATAACTCTCTTAATTCTGATTTGTAAAATTACATTAAATCCAATTGTTTGGATTTCCTCAACAGTTTCCACTTCAAGAAGGAGTTCACATTGTGGAGCTTTAGAAGCAAACTCTTACGCAGAGAATCAAAAGGTGAAAGTCAGCCAATCCTTATCAGATATCACTACCAATCATGGAAAGGTAATGTTATGATCATTAGAATTTATTGTATTCTGTGCCATTTACATTACAAGAAGTCACATTAACTAAAATCTTTTGGACATGAATGCATAATCTCCTACTGAAAAACTTTGAAGAAATTTATCTTCCTTTGAGAATTTACAGATTTTTAATCAGTAAGGGACTCAAGGGTAGTAGGGAAAAGACAAGAAAACAACAGGAACTGAGGCCTGTTAGCTCAGCCATGATCTCATTGAATGGCAGAGAGGAGTCAATGGGTTGAATGGCTTGCTTCTGCTCCTACATCCTATGGTCTTATGAATTTAAACGTTAATTGCTTTCAGCCAGTATGGAAATTTGAAGCCTTCTCTACTATACCGAGTTAAATTTTAAAATAATATTTTTTCTGTTTATTTATAATTATTCGTGACACAAATATTATGCTGAGTTTTTTTAAATAAACAGCAAGTTTTAATAAAATATTACAGTGCCAAGCAACATTTTGGAATATCATTTAATATCTTTACTGTGCAGTCTCCTTTTAATTGCAAATTAGTTGATTCTAATTATCCATTTAGTTTTTTTTCTTTTTTTCCCATTTTGAGTTTCTGAATTTGAAATTCTGGATAATTCTTTTTAGAGCAGAAAATGACTAAACAAAAATGCGTATGTAATATATAAAAGCACTCTCTAATTTTTTGTATAAAAACAAATAGTTGTGGTAATTAATCCCCTAAATAGTGATCAAAAATTCTATAATACACTGTTTAAAGAAAATAGTTCATCGTTCCTCTAAATTAATGGCTGTGGTAGCACATTTTCTATTATGTTGTGTAACTGAATAACCTGCAACTTGCTGCAAGAACTGCCATGGGAAATTAAATCTGTATGAAAGTCTTCCATCTAATGTGTACCTGTCCCTTTCTGGTGCCACAGTTTTTAATATATGCAGATAATATTAATTCAACAAGAAATCGTAACTAAATTGAGCAATTTGGAATGAAAGTACCAATTAAGGTGAATCAAGAAGCTATAATAAAAACCAATGAAAAGTGGTGTGCACAAGAAGATACAATGAATGAACATGGACAGAAGTGAAGGGGCAGCGAATAATGCCTTTCAGAATTTTTTTTTTTGGAATAATCTTTCAACCATCATTTAACCTTGTAAATAATCAACAAAGCACTCGGTCAAGCTTCATAGTATGATTAGACCTAACTAAAACCAAGCATCATAAGTAATTTCTAACATCACAATAGCAAAATTTACTTTGCTGCCATCAGCATCCATTAAAGATGTTTTTGTCCATTTTTCCATTAATATTTCCATTTAGAAGTCTGTTCCTATATTTTGAAAATCGCTGTGTGTCTTATTGCAGCTGTGATAACAAACCCAGAATATGCATAAAATTTGCTCATTCTCCTCCATTGAATAACGTATTGTGAGGGTTCAGACAAGAAATCATAGCTTTCTCCATGACTGACATATTATTGATCGCAAAACAAACATTCTGGTGTTTAAAGACAAATCCAAAATTCAGAATTCTGATTGGACAAAGAAAACATGTTCTCCAATATCGCCTGTGATTAAAGAAACACATGCAAGGAAAATGGTTTCTCAGAACAAATGCCATTGCAGTTTGATCTGTTCCTCACTCTGGAAAACAGATAAGCCTCCTAATATTTTCAAGGTCCAAACGTTTTGATCTTAAAGTTTTGTGCCCTAATACTGTGACAGTGTAAACCCGATAGTGTAAGAGCTGAGTTGATAAATGCTTATCATTGAGTTTAAAAGCAAGTCTGTTAAATACTTCTGTATTTCCAGTAGAATTCTGGATGAATGTAACAAAGTATTATTTGGTGATTTTCATTTTATATAAATAATTTTAAGGATATGGTGAAAAAGAACCCTAAATAATTGCATTGTAGTATGCTTAAAAGGACAACATTCATTCACATGGTCCTTCCTCCATCTGAAGAAGTCTTTGCACTTAAAATGTAACCATTGTTTCTCTCTGCACGGATGCTGCCAGATCTGCATTTCTCCAGCATTTTCTGTTTTTATTTGAGATATCCAGCATCCACATTATCTTGCTTTTACTTCCTACACAGTAGTCACTGTACAAACTCAAGTTTTAAAAATTATACCCTTTTCCAAAACAAAATACTGAAGCAAATTGTACTGTAAACTACATTTTGTTGCAGATTTTTAATTAATATATTGTTTCATCCTTATTTTAACAGGTCATGAGTGAGTCATCCCCTCGCCTTTCAGATGATGATGAATATAGCTCCTCAACCAGCTCAACTGATAAATCAGAGGGGGACTGCAAAGAAGTGTAAATACTTAAACTTCTTGTTACGTCGTGGTATTCCCAGTTTGGGAATGAAGGAAACTATATGGTTAAACATTCTGTTTGCGTTTCCTTCACTAGTCATAGCAGACAACAGTGGGGTCACTATATCATTAAAAACTAAAAATTGCAGATGCTGGAAATCTGAAATAAAAGCAGAAGGTGCTGGTGGAACACAACAGGCCTGGCAACGTTCATAGAGAAAGAAACAGTGCCAATGTTTCAAATACGATATGACTAATCTTTTCTAACGAAGAGCCATATCGGACTTGAAATCTTGACTCCCTTTTTCTCTCCATGGAGGCTGCAAGACCTGAGTTTCTCCAGCACTTTGTTTTTATTAGAATAAATCATTATGTGTGTTTGAGTGTTGACTTTTACCAATATTGCATTGATGCTTCATTGGTACATTGATTAATTAGTATTATAGGATTGTCAAAGTGACACAAAGTCTTGAAAGATGTATGCAAAGTCGACAAAATGTCTGCATTCTAAAGGCAATTAATGTAATTTCAATGCTGGAAACCACCAGGGCAGCTTCAATCTATTGAGTTTTGATGAAAGATTAGAGAAATTGGAGTCTATTAATCTTGAGTGACTGAGATGATCTGCACAGAATGAAAAGAGCCTCCTCAACAAAGGCATGGACACCAAAATTTAACAGGGTTTCCAATATGTTAGTAAGCTTTTAACCGATTGAGGGCCACAACTCAAATATGAGACTGACCTCGTGGTTACTAGCCAGCAATGATCTCTGCATAATATATAGTTTGGAAACTTGAGACAATGTACAGTAAATACCTCAAAGCACTGGAGAAGTACCACCAACAATGTCTTCACAAAATCCTGAAAAGTGGTTGACAAGAAAGGCAGTCTAACAGCTCCATTATCTCCCAAATCAATATGCCCAGCACTGAGATGCTAAACACTTAAAATTCAGCTGAGCAGATCATGTGATTCATATCCCCAGTACTTGTGTGGACAAGTGTCCTACTCTGAATAGATTTTATGAGACTCCCTGCTTTAGTGATGTCCTCACAGCATCTTTGAAGAGGTCAGACGTCAACCAAAGTAGAGTTCTGTATAGGAAAGCACTGAGCACAGTAAGAGGCGAAGTTTTGAAACATTGGAGAGAGCACACAAACCAAGCACTGTCTGTACCACATGTGGCAAAGTCTGCAGATCAATTTCTGAACTCATCAAATCAGGGTGGAAGCAAGTCCTCCTGTATCCTAAGGAACTGCCTAGGAAAAAGAAGACAACCGCTTTGCCATCCAGTTTTGTATAATCAGCAAACTTGGAGGTGCATCATTGGTCCCTTCAACTAATATAGATTGTTAAAAGCTGAGGCCCCAGTGCTGATACTTGTGGCACACCACTATTAACAGTTTAAAACATTTAGCTACTTTTTCTCCCGAACTGCCATTTTCAGTCAGCTTTCTTGGATGTGTAAAGCTTTCAATGATTTTCATAAAATTGTACACTTCTGTTTTCTAAACACTTGTTATTTATTTTCTAGCAAAGCTGATTCTAATGAAATGCATGATCTGGTAAAATTGATGACTCGAACATTAAGCATGGATTCAAAAGATGTGTATAGAGAAAATCTAATGCCTGCTCCAAAACCAGAATTCAGATTACAGCGGAGGTATAGAGATACACTGATTCTTCACGGGAAAGCTAAGGAAGATCTGGAGGATTTTTGCTTCAATGATTTTCCAACTGGTATGTTACAATCAGAAGCATTATCACATACTTAAAGTATTGTTTATTCCATAAATGTATTGATTGGATCATTCATTTAAAATTTCAGCTTTTTCCAATTGAAGCAGTTTTCAATGTTAACATGTTTGATGTTGAGATGTAAATAAAGTTGGAAGTTATCCTCAATTTAACAATTCTGTAACATATTTCAGATTATATATTTCAGCTTGCCACCTTCTCAAGGGCAACTGGAGATGAACCATAAATGCTGGCCTAGCCAGTGAAGCCCATCTCCATGAATGAATTAAAACAAAACACATTATTGAGCCATTTCCTGTTCCTTACTTTGTTTAGAAGTTTTATCTGTACCAGAGAAGATCAGAAGAACAATTCACGCTCTAAGAACAGATGTTGTAAAAGGATTGGGAGTAAAACTTTTGGAAAAAGTATATAACATTATGGAAGATGCTGATGAAAACAGGAGGGAGGTAAGTTCCTTTATTTTCTATGTTCATTTAATCTTTCGAGGAGTTCTTAATTTGTCTTCAGGATCAGTAGCTTGTTACTTAACACCAGTCTGATTTATGTAACCATTTCAGGAATGTCTGCAGGAGCACATGGGTGAAGAATTGTATCAGAATTACAGTATGAAGGTCCAACAACTAAAGTTCTTTGAAGATCATTCAAATTTTTGACTCCATGGTACTGAAAATTACTTAATAAGCTTGTTTGATTTAAAAAGTGCCTTTTTATGGACACTGATCAGTTAAAATGTGTCCATCACACCTGAAAAACTCAGTTGTATAAATGCATGCAGGCATAACTTGGATTTTATTTTGAACTTTGTTCCATGCAATGGACAACATAGAAACTAGACAAAGATCATGAAGCAATGGACTGAATGTTCACCTAGCCATGTCGTTTTCAGTTTGTGAATTAAAATGGCTATTGTATCATATTTTCACATCATCAACGTACTGTTTTGTGAAATATTGGATGATCAGTTGAATATGTATCACAGTTTAATTGATATGTGGTTGATATTTTCTATCGTAAGAGAGCTATTTTGCACGTAGACAAATACTGTCCATCAAAGAATTTACTACACGTTTGTCATCGATGTGCTTAAATGATCCAAATACATTGTAAAGTGCTAAATTTATTCATAGCTCAGTTTGAAACCTTTGCAGTAAGTCAATTCATAATCACAAATTCTCTCTTTCTAGAATTTGCCCAAACACCACAGGGTATACTTTAAGGGAACATTTTACAAGAAATTCCACAGGAGCAGTCCCGGTTTTTCAGCTGTTATCTGCTGAGTGGCAAGTTACCTGTTTTATTGTCCTGTCATTTTCTAACTTTCTCACCTGAATTTCTACTGCAAGACAGTTTCAGCCTACTATTTATTACCTCACAGTTGTCAGTACTTGGTAGATTTAGGCAATGAACAGTCAAAAAGTCCTCAAATAAAATACACATTCATTTTCATAATTATGACTGCCAATTCTAAATAATTTTCTTTTTCCAGCCCAGAGGGCCAAAGCCATTTTGGTGGCTTTTTGACACTGTCCAACTGAGATGAAATATCTATTATTGACCAGATTAAACCTTGTACACTTTTATCTATATAGTTCAGGGGTGGCCGAGTAGTACTTGGATTAGTAATCCACAGGTCCAGGTTAATGCATTTGAGGACATTAGTTCAACTCCCACTGCAGCACCTGGTGGAACTTGAGTTAATTAATGCACCTAAAATGTAATGCTTTAATAGTGCTTTTCAAGGAACTGAATCTGCTGTCCTTACCTGCTCTGGCTATGTGTGACCCCAGACCCAGCACAATGTGGTTAAATCTTTAATACCGTCTGAAATGGACTAGTAAGCCACTTAGTTCAAGGGTAATTAGAACCTGGGAACAAATGCTGACCTTACCAGTAACACACACATCCCACAATAGAATAAAAATGCCATACTAAGCAATATATTTTCACAATCTATAAGTTAGCATTCTAACAAGAGTATAATTTCAAGTTCTGTGCAAACAAGAGCAGAATATCCATTGTGTATCTGAAAATGTTGATCATGTGAATAAATGAGAACAATACACTACGCATTTAAGAATTTAGAAGAATAGTGTGGACAAGAAAAGAAGGCATGACAATATAAATACGCATATCAGTTCAAACATTGATCAAATCAGACTTATTCCTACTTGCAATGAGAAAGGAAACAAGTGAGTAAAAGTTCATATCAAGAACTTCCCATATGCAGGATTTACCTGGTATAAGGATTTGTTCTGTTCCTGCCATCCAGTGGCTTGTGCTTGAAGTAATTTCCCCCCAGTAACCGTTTCACCCTCTAACCAGACCAATATTATACCTAAAAAGATAATGTGATCTATGTATGGTCTGCATTGAAGCACAGCTTTCAGACAAACTGAAAATATCGAAATTTTCAATTGGGTTTATTGTATTGTTTCTGTCACTGTACTTTCTCCAGATATGTTCATAGTAGTGAATGTAGGATTTGTGAACTTGTAAAGTTGTATTGCAATATTTGCTGTAAAATTAAAAATAATGTACAGTTTCCAAATTAAACTAGGTAGTAGTTTTACCTAAGTTTTCTACATGTTATGACAATGCATACCTCCTGAAGTTTATCTAATTGATTTTACTGTTATAGTTCAGTCACTTAGAATAATGTATCTTTCAAGCACAGAACTCCAGACTAGAAAAGATTTGATTCAAGTTTCAATTTTACCTAACTTCACCCTCTGCCTGTAAATTTGCCTCTCCCACAGACGTTAAGAGTTGGGGCAAAAGAAGTTGGAAAATGTTTTTCAACATGGGCGACATAAAGTGTTACTATCTGTTCATGTTCAAACTGGATAGGTTTATTATTCCATTTTCAAATATCATTGAAGTTATTATAACTTTTGTATCTCACTGTAATCATATAATGTTTGTGTGCTTTGAAACATTGACATATCACTAAGGTTTTAGAGTAGATTTGTAGCTCGGGTTGTGGATGTCGTGGTTGGTTGGCTCGCTGAGCTGGTGTGTTGTTTTTCCGCAGACGTTTCATTACCCTGCTGGGTAACATCATGAATTTACCCAACAGGGTAATGAAATGTCTGCGGAAAAGCAACGAACCAGCTCGGCGAGCCGACCAACCACAACATTGACATATCATTTTTTATACAGTAACAATTCATACAGCTCCCACTGATTACATTGTTTGAGAGTCAGTTATTAATTTGAATCAAGTTAAACTGAATCTAATGAATTTAGTTAAATTAAGTCAGTTTGTACAAATGAATTTTCTTTATTGTTTGTAATAAATATTTGTACTTTTGAACACAAACTCTTCAAACGTAAATATTTGACAATTTAAGAAAATTGATATTTGATATGAGTAATAAATTATACTTTATTTTAAGCAATTTTTTATTATGTTCAGTTAGAATGTATGAATGAAAAGTAGGTAAAGAGCATTTTGCAATTTTGTAGTTATTTATAATACTTCTTAAAGATATATGTAACTCGTGAATTATTGCAGTTGCTTGGTATAATTTATCAGTCAGGTTTGAAGACCATACCTGTCATTCTACAAGTTAAATGCAGATCTTAACATGGTATGATATAATAGATATACTTTTGGTTTTAAAATATCTGCCACATTTTAAAATCAATCTTTTGTAAAAATCCTAAATTATTTTTGTAATAATTATGGTGCTATTTGTTTAATCATACTCATCAGCACTATAATCCTATATAAACAAATACCACAGGAAGCCATTTGGTCCACCTAGTTTAAGCTGGTTTCCTGCAAGAGCAATAAAGTTACTTCTATTCCCCCACCTTTGCCCATAGCTAAGCTAAATGTTTTGCTTTCAAGTATTCCTTTTTGAAAACCACAACTAGAATTGCTTATACCACACTTTCGTAAGAACATGATAAATATGAGGGTAGGCCTTCCTGGGTCTTTTGCCCAGGGTAGGGGAGTCCAGACTAGAGGGCATAGGTTTACGGTGGGTGGGGAAAGACTTAAAAAGGACCTGAGGGGCAATTTCTTCACGCAGAAGGTGGTGTATTTATGGAATGAGCTGTCAAAGGAAATGGTGGAAGCAGGTACAATTACAATATTTAAAATGCATCTGGATGGGTATATGGATAGGAATCATTTAGAGGGATATTGCCAAATGCTGGTAAATGGAATTAGATCAGTTTAGAATATCTGGTTGGCATGGACGATTCAAACCAAAGGGTCTGCTTCCATGCTGTATGACTCTAGGTAATGTGCTGTGGGGAAAGGTGAACCGTTAGAGGCACTGTATTTAGATTTTTAGAAGGCATTTGATAAGGTGGCACATCAAAGATTATTAGAGAAAATAAAAGCTCATTGTATAGTGACATGGAAAGAAGATAGAAGCAGAGAGTAGGAATAAATGAGTCTTTTTCAGATTGGCAAGATGTAATGGGATCAGTGCTGGGACCTCAACTACTTATAACTTGCATAAATGATTTGAATGCAAGATGGGTTACCACATTTACAAAGACATAAAAATAGGAGGAAAGTAAGTTGTGAAGACACAAGGAGGTTACAAAAAGCTACTACCTAAGTATGTAGCAAAGATGTGGCAAATCGAGTACAATGTGGGAAAACGTGAATCTCTCGATTTTGGCAGAAAGAATAAAAAAAGTCTATTATCTAATTATTGAGACTGTTGAGTTCTGAGACACAGATATGTGGGTCCTTGTGCATGAATCACAGTAAGGTGTTAGTATATAGTTGCAGCAAGTTAAAAAGAAAGCTAACTTTCATAAAGGAAGGAATTGAATACAAAAGTAGAGAGGTCATACTTCAGTTTTACAGGGAACTGGTGATACATCAGGAAGGATGCAACTGCATTGGAGGTGGTTCAAAGAAAATTTACCAGACTAATACCTTGAATTAGGGGGGTTGTCTTGTGAGGAAAGGTTGAACAGATTGGGCTTGTATCCACTGGGGTGTAGAACAGCAAGAGGAGACTTGATTGAAACTGAAAAGATTTTGAAGGGTCTTGGCAGAGTATTTACAGAGAGGATGGTTCCTCTTCTGGGAGAAACTAGAACAAGGGATGTATTTAAAAATCAGGGATTGCCCATTTAAAGGAAAGATCCGGAGAAATTTTTCCTTAGAGTCAGAGACTTTTGGCACACTCCTCCATAAAATGAGGTAGAAATAGAGTCTTTGAATACTTTTAAATTAGAAGTAAATAGATTCTCATTAAGCAATGGTGTGAAAGATTATCAGGGTAGGCAGGAAGGAGCGGGGTATAACATGTAGCAAAATATGTTCTGGACAAAAAGGGCTCAATGAGAAGGATGAACAACCATGGTTAACAAAAGGCATTCAAAGAGAGAATCCAATCAAAAATTAAAACATGCAAAATGACAAAAACTAGTGATAGGTGAGAGAATAGGGATGTTTTAGGAATCAGCAGCAGATGACGAATAAGGACAGAGAAAATTGATTATGAAAGTAAATTGTCAAGAAAAATAAAAATAAACAGCAAGACTTTCTAAGGGTATACAGAAACAGGTTAGGTGAATTTTGGGTACACTAGGCAACTGCGGAACTGATTCTGGGAGCAGGGAAATGGCAGATAATTCAAACCAAGACTTTGCATCCACCTTCATGGTGAAGAGCACTATCAACATCCCAAAGATAACAGATAAGTGCCCATGGGAGGAAAAATCTTGTAGAAGTCTCCATCATCTTGAGGGATAAAGTATTTGACAAACAAATGGAACTAAAGGCAGACAAGTGCCAGGACCTGATGGCCTGTATCCAAGGGTTTTAAAGGAAGTGGCTGTAGATGTACTAGATATATTCTAGGCATCACAGGATTCTGTGAGTGTTCCAGTGAATTGGAAAACCACTAATGTGATGCCCTTGTTCAAGAAGAGAGGGAGACATAAGGCAGGAAACTCTCGACCAGTTTGACTAACATCTGTTGTTGGGAAAATGCTAGTGAGGTGCCGCAGGGTTCAGTGCTGCGACTCCAGCTGTTCACAATATACATTAATGATTTGGATAAAGGAATTGAATTCAACATCTCAATTTGCAGATAACACTAAGCGAGGTGGCAGTGTATGCTGTGAGGAGAATGTTAAGAGGCTGCAGGCTGACTTGGACAGGCTGGCTGAGTGAGCAAATACTTAGCTAATGCATTGTAATGTTGATAAATGTGTAGTTATCCACTTTGGTTGTGAAAACAGGAAGGCAGTTTATTATCTGAATGGTGGCAGTTTAGGAAAAGGTGAAGTGCAAAGAGACCTGTGTGTCATGGTGGAACAGTCGCTGAAGGTTGGTATACAGGTGCTGCGGCAGTGAGGAAAGCTAATGGCATGTTTGCCTTCATAGTGAGAGGATTTGAGTATAGGGATGTCTTGCTGCAGTTATATAGGGCCTTGGTGAGGCCACATCTTGAGTATTGTATGCAGTTTTGACTCCTAGTCTGAGGAGTCCAGCAAAGGTTCACCAGACTAATTCCTGAGATGGTAGGTCTGACATATGAGGACCCTACCGTTAATTATATAAAACCCTAGGATGAAGTCTATCAGGATCTGGGCACTTGTCAGCCCACAGCTCCAGTAATGATTCATCAGTGATAACTGATTTTGTGAAGCTCCTCCTTCCATTCTATTTCCTGATTCATTGCTATTCTGGGATGTAGCTTATATCCTCTAATGAAAAATAATGCAAAATACCTGTTTAATTCTTCCACTATCTCAATATTTTCCATTACTAATTCTCCAGCCTCATTTTCTATAGGACCAATGCTCACTTAGTTAACTCTATTCTTTTTTAAATAGTTGTAGAAATGCTTAATAACTGTTTTTATATTTCTGGCTAGCTTTCTTGTACTGAAATTTTTCCTTTTAAGTTTTTCAATTATGATTGCCCTTATTTAATTTTTAAAAATAGTCTTTGACCCTCTTCTCTCTCCCTCAAACTGAATGTTTATACATGATTATATGGTAACATAAGTTGAAACACCTCAGGAAGAGAACGTATAGAGAACATGATAAAATAATTAAGGAATTAATAGAAGCTGCTGGATATCTATGAGAGGCAGCAGTGATTTAAAGTTAAAGCAAATAAAAGAGCATCAGAGGAACAGGAAAGCTGATGAAAGCAACAGGCAGAAGCAGCAGCCATGAAGGCAACAAACCCTGAGCATAAGGTAGGAGCAGCAACAATTGCGCTGGAGGAAATAAACATGGTACAAAGGGATACGACAGAGGAAAAAGTGATGGAAGAACAAACTGCTAAAGGGATGGCATCTGGCAAATATGGGAAAGGGCGTTATCACCACACCACACTCAATGTAACCTCTTAAATTATACCAAAAAGTGTGCACCATAGGAGGGTGGGGTGGGGGGGGTGGGGGGGGGGGGGGGGGGGTGCGGTCATGAGGTGGCAAGGAATGGGAAGAGATGTAGCAAAACGATACGAACATGTCTGGTATGTGTCCAAACATAACCCAGGGAGACCAGTCAAGGTCTGCATGTTATACCAGACCAAAATTGCCATAGGAGCAATTATAAATCCATTTCATAGGGTCCCCTCCCATGACTCGGGGGGGAAAAAAATCTATTGTTTGGTTGTTATTAATCATTCTTTACCACCTGCAGAGCTCAGACCTCAGAGAACAAATGAATAGGATGTTAAGGAAAGCATTAGATAAAGCCATACAAGAGACCAGGCAGGGATAGGCAGATTTGTGCCCTAGTATCCTGATTGAACTCGGTAACACCCAGTGGATGTACAACTGTAAAAGTTGATGACAGAACGAACTGAGCATTCCAGGGAATGCTATGACTGGTAATGAGGAATTCAGAGCTGCAAGTGAGTTAAATGATTTTTGAGAAGCAGCCTAAGCAGATAAATGAGGTGCGACAGATTAGAGATCAGTAATTTCTACATAATATAGAGACAGAGATGAAAATAGAACAGACCAAGGTACCCAGGGTAGGAAATAAGGTTTGTACCTAGATAGGTTGGATTATATGAGATAATTATGATCAATGCTACTTATGCTTGCATGAATATAAAAGGGAAAGGGGCACTGGAAACACTGTCACAACTTTAGCATTTAACTAATTATTTTGCCTTGCAGGACTAATTCCAACCAGAAGAGAATAATAATTTGTCACTTGTACCTTTACAAAAAAATACAATGAGAAGTGTTTAAGTTCCCATTTTGATAACAAATAATATTTTAAAAAAAGAAAAAAAATGTAGACAAAGTCCATCTTAGTTCACTTCACAACTCCAGGGCTCCCAAGATTGAGGAAACCTGACCCCGAGGCCGC